ATTCTCCTTCTCAACCTCTCCACTTCCCTGAGGCATGATGACCCTCAAGTTAAACCACCACCACTTGTCTCTCTCTAATGAAAGAGTGTCCTATGACTGGTAAGACTTTGACAATTTTACCTTTACCTTGAGTTTACACTGAAGGATACTGGTAGAAATCTTTGAAAATAGTGGACTGCATATGAAGGTTACCCTGCCAGGAGTATGTATTTTTTTATTTGTCTCTTTACATCTGTATTGCAAATCAACCTATTTCCAATCTGAACAATCCCCCAAAAATTTATGAATAGCATATTTATTTTAAATGTATCCATTATTGTCTCTTCATTGTTAATGCATTCTCTTGGACTTAAACTCCATTTTGTATTATATACTTGGAAACCTTTTCGGAAAGCTGCCTTGTCATATCTCTGTTATATAACTTGCAGCCCCTTCAAACGTGCTGTATAATCTGAACAAGTCTGTTGCAAAAGGCATTTAGATATGTGGTAGTTTTCTATTTATCTCAGTGTTCAGCAGTCTTGAATTTGGTTAATAAAAATTAAAATTAAGCTGGCACTCCCCATTGGCATAGAGGGTATGTAATGTCGTGCAAATGAAAATAACTTTGCGTTGAATTTAGAAGTTTGGGTAGAGGAAGAGCTAATTTTCAGGCTGGTTTGTGCAAAATGACTTAGGCTCATCTTAATGCAAAATTTACCCACATTTTCCAACACTAACTAAATTTCAGCCCTACCATAATTACATCAATCATCATTTTGAACTGGCAATGCTTTGGGAATCTGGTTAACATGTCTTTATTTGTTAACAGCAAATCACTGTGAGTAGGTAACTTTTTGCATCTCTGTGAAGCACCTCATGAGCCAGTGTACAAAGTTATAGATCAGTTTTATTCCACACTTAAGAGAATCCCAACCATTAATGGTGTCTCTATACATGGCAGTTGTGAACTTGCATAAAAACAAGTGTTATTAATCAATTGCCATTAGTGAAGCTGTGGCCAAGGGACTTTATTGCACATTAGCCACTGATCATGTGAGAATTGATAGAATAAGGCTCAGGCAAGGAAGGGGCAAGAGGAAAATATGAAGGGAGAGGATAAAGTTCATGTTGGGCCATTATTTACAATGAATGAAAGAAAGAAGGCCCAATGCTTGGCAAGTGAGAACTGATGACAATGTAAAGAGAAAAATGTAATGGTACTGTTGCTGAAGTTAATTGATGACATTTGAGAGAAAAGGAGTTTAGCAGGAATGAAAGATGCAAAATGGACCTTATATTTTGAGGAGGAAGGGTGAAGATGATTAAAACAGTACTTTTGGTTGACTAAGGAAGGAAATTGCCCAGGATTGTAAGGGGAGTTTAGGGAGGAACTGTCCCAGCAAGAACTTGGGGATGGGAGAAAGAACACTATTACTCAGACTAAACAGAATAGAAGGGGAAGAATACCTGGTTAATTATATTTGAAAAACAAATAACCTGTAGTAGAGTAGACACTTTGACAAACCATGGACATCTTCAAACCCTTTGTAGATTGTTGAGTGCTTTTGAAGCATAGCCATGGTAATGTGGGGAACGTAGCAGCCAGTTTACACAAAGCAGTGCCCCACAAATAAAGATGAAATAAATGAACAGATTATCAGTTTTGGATGTTAGTTTGATTGGGACACTCTGGTGAAATCTCCACCTGAGAGAAAAATGTCCCTCCTGAAAGACAACATTTCCTACGGTTCAACTTTGCCTCAATGTTCCCCTGAGGTCTGGCCATTATTATTATATGTTGAAAACTATGAACTGTGAACTAGGACTTGAACTTAGAACAATCTGACTCAAAGGTGAGAATGTGATCTCTGAGCCAAGGTTGACATCAGAAATGGGGAAAAATGCGCAAAAAATTTGTAGAAAGGAATGCAGATGTAAATGGAAAAGTTTGGAAAAGAAAGTGACTCTATTCGAAGTGTGGGTCTGTTCCTGAATTGCAACGAGAGGGATTAGGATGTCAGTGTGAACTGGGCAGTCAGGATCTGGGTAAATAACTTTTGAGGAAGCATTTAGTAAGCAATTGGATTGTTGAAAAACCAAATGAAATTGGTTTTGACTTTTACACTGGACTGAAAATGTTAACACTGGTTTCCTTCTGCAGCTAAGTTTCTCCAGCAATTTCTGTCTTTGATGGTTTTGACTTCAATAAATTTAAAACCTATTAATTGCAAAACCTATTATTGTTTTATATTAATCAGAAACTTCCTGAAACTGCACCACTTTTGTATCTTCAACTTTTAAACTTCCTCTTTAAGTTTTCATGCTCTCATGTTTGGTGTTTCGACAGTATAAATATGGAATATTTTGTGAGAATAAACTGCAAAGCCTCTGTCACAGTCATACAGGAGCCTGACTTGTTCTCATAATTTGGTACTGTGCTAGCTGTTTTAAATCTGTTGACCTGCTTTTGCAAGTTTTCTTGGCTGCAACATACATATTAAAGTCATTAAATTATGTGTATATTGAACAGAAGGAGAATGTTCTGAAATGATCAGCAGATGTGACAGCATCTGTGGAGAAAAGAACAGAGTTACTGTTTTAGATAATAACTGTTTTTTTCCTCACAGCTTCTATTAAAAATTACCATCATTTTCGGTTTTCCTTTCCAATTTTCAGCATCCACAGTAATTTTCTTTTATGTACATTTAGCAGTTCCTTTGCCATTTTATGCAGCCTAAAAAAGAGCTATATCTTGTTTAAGTGATTTCAGTTCCAAAGATTGAAACTCTGAAAAATAAAAGACAACTTGAAAAATTTCAAATTGAATTTTTCATTGCATCATGCACTTATAGGAATTAGCAGTCGTAGGCTATTTGCTCCCCCCAAGCCTACCTGCCATTCAAAAAGTTCATGGTTGATCTGTTTGTCTTTCAACCTTGCATCTACCCACCCCCGATAATCTTTGATTCCTGTGCCTAACAAGAATCTATCAACTTTTCGTCTTACAAATTTATTAATTTCACCTCCACAGCCATTTGAGTCAGAGAGTCTAAAGTTTTACATCCCCTATGAGTGAATATAACTCTCAACTTTATCCTATCTTGGCTGTACTGATGTTATTGGCACACATTGCCCTTGGTCTTTGTATCATAAGTCCATGAGACATAGGAGCAGAAATTAGGCCATTCGGCCCATAGAGTCTGCTCTGTCCTTCGATCGTGGCTGATAAGTTTCTCAACCCCATTCTCCGCTTTCTTCCCATAACCCTTGATAATCAAGAACCTAGCTATCTCAGTCTTAAATATACTCCATGACATGACCTCAACAGTCTTCTGTGGCAAGGAATTTCATAGATTCACCCCTCTCTGACTGTAGAAGTTTCTCCTTATCTCTGTTCTAAACGGTCTTCCCTTTACTCTAAGGCTGTGCCCTTGGGCTCTATTCTTTCCTGTCAATGGAAACATGCTCCCAACGTCCAGTCCACTCAGGCTGTTCAGTATTCAGCAAGTTTCAATTAGATCCGCCCCCTCATCCTTCTAAACTCCATCAAACATAGACCCAAAGTCCTAAAATGTTCCTCCAATATTAAGCCTTTTGTTTCTGGGATCATTCTTGTGAACGTCCTCTGGATCCACTCCAGGGCCAGTACATCCTTCCTGAGGTATGGGGCCCAAATTTGCTCTCAGTACTCTAAATGTGGTCTGACCAGAGGTTCAAAAAGCCTCGGAGGTACATCCCTGCTTTTATATTCTAGTCCTCTCGAAATAAATGCCAGCGTTATACTTGCCTTCCTAATTACTGACTCAACCGGCAAGTTTACCTTAAGAGCATCCTGGACGAGAACTCCCAAGTCCCTTTGCATATAAGATATTTAGTGACGTCTGCTTGAAATACCTGCATGTGCCCATAGTTGCCTGTTCACCATAGATTTGAGTTGATCTTTGTCTTGTGCTGATTGAGAAGCATGTTGATACTTGTGAAACGGCCAGTTCTGCATGGAGCCTGTCTATATTACTTAAATTTAGCATAAGTTGCTACTTCCAGTGTGGAAGGAGGATATATAGGACTTGGAGATTTCAATGAAAGGATAAATTATTGATTTTTTTTTTTCTCTTTTGATATTAAATTGTTCTTGAAATGTATTGTGATTCTTGGTAAGTTCAATTGGTTCCCTTGTTCCCCAATAATAATGAAAGTTCAAACCTTTCAACATTCAAGCATGTTAACTTTTAGTGGTAATGTTTTGGGGAAGTGGTAGTATCACTGGAATAGTAATTCAGAATCTCGGATAATGTTCTGGGGACATGGTTTTGAATCTCACCACGGCAAATAACAATGTTTGAATTCAATAACATCTAAAATTATAAATTAGATGATTGGTAACCATGTAATCATTGTCAATTGTCAAAAACATTAATCTGAGCCACTCATGACCTTTAGGGGAAGAAGCCCAATGCCATCTTGGCGCTTTGATTTTTACCACTCCACCACTTTCAATATCTTCAAAGTTCACTTCCTTCACAGCTGATACATATTGGCAGCAATCTGTACCATCTACAAGATTCACGCCAGAAAGGTACCAAGTCTTTTTGACAGCACCTTTCAAACCCATGATCTCTACCATTGAGAAGGACAAGGGCGCAGATACATGGGAACATCTTTGCTTGCAAATTTTGCTCCAAGCCACACTCCATCGTAACTCGAAACTGTATTGAAATTCCTTCGCTGTCTTTGGGGCAAATCCAGGAACTCCTTTCCTAGCAGCACTGTGTGTGTCCTACGCACTAGGAATCTGATAGCTGAAGAAAGCCATTCACCACCACCACGACCACCTCCAGGATGGGCAATAAATAGTGGCCTTGCCAGCACAGACCACGTTCATGAGCACGCAAAAATAAAAACTGATTATGTCAATTCATTCAGAACCAGCATTCAGTACTTTTGAACACATTGCACTGTTACATTTTTTATCTTTCGTAATTAGATCAGAAAACTTATTGCTTTTTATTCTTTTGCAGCTTTCAAGTGGAAATCCTTTATACGAAAAGTATTATCGTCAGGTAACTTTGACTTTACTTGCTTTCTGCTCAGTGCATTTAACAGTGTCCCTTGTAAATATTTGAACATGTTTAACTGTATTGACTACTCTAGCAAATTATGTTACGATAAATACATTAATACTTTTTTTATATAAGAAACCTTTTTACCCTGTGATATCAATTAAACAGTGATATTAAGATTGTGTTTCAAACTTATTGCAACATTGTTTCCTTATAAGACACATTTTCCAGAAATTGTTTACTTCTGACTTTTTTATATTTACCTTTTCTCTTTGGAAGGTACAAATTCAAGTGATGGTATATTTTCACAGTTGTTAGTAGCTTTTGGTACCTTGCCCAAATAACAAGAACAGGTAGTGAATACCCATTCAACCAAATGCCAGCCAAATCCGACCTTGTTCTTACAACTTGTCCACGTACATGCACGTGTTATCAGGGGTCAGTAGATAACAATCATAAGTGGAAAATGTGGCCGCTTTTCACCACCTCTGTGCACAAAGAATACTGAAGTCGGTTCTTTTTACACAGCATCAGTGATGTTTGTGGTTGGGATTAAGTTATGAAAAGAGACAGAATAAACTGGGAACAGTATCACTGGACATTGAGATTAGTTTAGGGCTACTCAACGAGTGGGTTGACACCAACATGATCAGTCACACGGTCCCCTTCTGGTGTGTATAACACTATGGCACTTCTGTCTGAGATGTAATTAGTTAATTCACATATCAGTTGGTCCTTTTATTGAACGGCTCTTGGGGAAACTCTACTCTTCATTCTGGTGAATGATCCAACTCACTGAGTGAAAATGACAGTACCATTTTGTTCGCAAATCCAACTTTGGAAACGACTTGTCACGCTGAAGAGCAGCTTCTTAATTTTGACTTGATCAAATGTTCTTTCATGTTCATGGTTCCTCTTGAATAGCAGATAGACCATGCTAGAAATCATTCCAGTGACCTTTTGTTAACTTAAAAGAAAGAATACTTTTGTAATTGCTTCCAAATTTAAATTTCTTTCCTGCATTTTCATTGTAAGTTAGCCGTTTGGATGGTACATTGGATTGCGCACTTGTGAATTTTCCGTATACAAATAGCAACTTCATATTTTTTTTTGGCTGATTTCGGATCTAACAGACACACCATTTGGGCATGATTGCTGAGTCATACAGACAATTAAGAGTTAGGTTCAGTTCTTGTTCTGTTCTGAGTTAATCACTGTCATTCAGAACACTTGGATGAGCACCACACCAGGATCCAGAGTCTTAGAATATTAAGACCCAGAAAGAACGAACAAATCGAGTTCAGGTTCTCAATCTTACTCTCATGGAAAATCTATACAAAGCATTAGACTTGGCTGTGAGCCCTCCCTCAGTCAAATATCCTTGGAGTATATAATCACTAGGTTTGCAAATGAAGAATGGCTGCTTGGGAAATTAAAAAGCTAATGCATCAAAGTATACTGTTAGTCTGCCACAAAGATAAGGTAGAATATTGTTTGTGAGTAATTTTCTATTTTTTTTGGCTGGGAAAAATACTTAAGATTATTTTTGAAGCCATAATTTCAAAGTATTTGCTTTTAATTTATGATAACCATTGTGTAATAATCTACACTTTCTTTTTTTAATCCCTATTACTAATTGCTGCTTTGCATTTAACTTTTATTTTCTGTTGTAAAGTCTCATTTGAGTTTCTTTCAGTTTAGAGATTAATTAAGGGTTTCCACTGTTAACCTAAAATTGCACAGACAAGAACTTCAACATGAGTCTTTCTCGACCTCCCTAATAAAGGAGGACTTATGAAAAAGAAGTTGATTTATTTGTGTGCAGTGCTGTTTACCTAGTCTCAAATTCTTCAGAAGCAAGAGTGTCATTTGTGTTTATTATCTTAATTTTTTTCTTTAAATGAAGTTGAGTGATATGTTTTAGTTGGCATTTATTTTAGAGCACATAGCAAAGAGTAGTGTTGTCTATTATCAGACTGGTGGACTTCCAATGGTGGTAACTTCGACCATATGTGTTTTGTTATGATCAAAAGACCTTTTCTATTCTGTTCCATGATAGTTTTTATTTTCTCCCTCCCACTTGGCCTCCAGCACCATTATATACTTGAAAAAGTCAATCGGTAACTTGCAGTAAGGCCTTGGCCGTTATTACATATGACTGTGATGGCAAGTGGATGAGAGTGGCTCGTTATGACCGGTGTTTAAGAATGTTATTTTTCAGTACTTTTCCTTCAGTTTATTGACTTGGAGATTAGGGCCCAGTCTCACTTTTGGTGCCTCTTCTGAATTCAGACATTTCTCATATCAAGAGTCATAAGGTGATTAGTTCATTGATGTTCCTGACCGGGAAAACTATTTTTTAAACCTGCTTATGGAGTACAGAACGTTTCCCTGCTTACAATTTCCAGTTTTTCTGTTTTTCACATTTATAGATTGATACAGTGAATGATGGGAGAGTCGGAGCAGCAGAAGCTGCCTCATTTTTAAAAAGGTCTGGGCTGTCTGACCTAGTGCTTGGAAAGGTACTGCTTTCTTTATGTTATCATTTCTGGTTCCTGTGATGAACTGAAATCATTGATATTTCATTGTCTATAATAATATTATTCATTATAGTAAATTATTCATTATAGTAAACATTTTACTGTAATATTGACCCTTTAAAAATGTTTTCCATTTTACCCTTCACATTTTTCTATTGTTACCCATTTGTCACTGCCTTATTTAGTTCTTATTTTATTCTCTCCTAACTGCTATATCTCTGTCAAACTTTTACAGCTCCTTTTGAGTAATCTGTAAAATTGTCTGCTCTTGTTCCTGTTTCTGTTGCCCTCACTGGATTACCAAAAACCCTGTTTCCAAACTCCTCCATGTTTATTCTTTCTCCAGTTCACATTTTGATGTCTCAGTTTACACAGTAATATCAGTGTGGGTTTGCCTTGCTCTTGGGTGTACTTTTCTGAAACCAATAACAACAACAGTTTAATATGCCTTCTTAAATTGCCATTGTACCATAATTTCCCTTTATAATCCTCTCCTATATATGACTGAACTTAGTTGAAGATATCCTACCCTTCAAATCCTTTATTCTGATTATAGTTATGTAACCATTACTGATAAAAATGCTCAAGTCGAAGGCAGTGTGTATAGCGCAGCCTATAGTATGTTTAGTTTTTAAGGCACCTTTAACAAAGTACTGAGGTAAAATTTGTTGACTAAATTTGACAGTATTTTTCTGAGGTTGGCTGTAGTTTTCCAAAGACTGCAGAATGCTGTAGGGGTTGAAATATTTTTATTTTGAAGGCTGGTCTTGAGATTTTCCTGAGGCTTATTTTTTTTTAAGGGATATTTTTTCTGGTTTTCAGGCATCCCTTTTCATTGTCACCAATTCATTTATTAAATGATGGAGTCATGTAGTAATAATGTTTCCTGTTTTTGTGTTTACATAGGATATTTGGACTCTAACAGAAGCAGATTTAGGAGAATTCATCAATGTCCTCAATTATCAACCTTCCATTAAACCTGAAGCTACATCACACAATGAAAGCATTAATTTCTTAGACATTGTTATATTTAAATTGGCACTAGACAGCAGGCATAAGTTAGCAACAAGTTTGTTTCAAAATATCTGCACACTCCTACACTCATAATTCCCCGCAAATTCCTTCTGTCTGCCATCTGTCCTTACAGCCTTCCTCCCTCTCCAGACTGCCTTGCCTCCATTTGTCTCAACCCTGCTAACAGCTGCCCTTTCCCTCCACCCTCACCCATGCAGCTTCCTTTTCGCCCCACACACTCGTGCAGCCTGCTTCTCTCCCACTTTGTAGCTTCCTTCTCTGACATTAATATGGCATCCCTCTCCTGCCCTCCCTCGACCTTGCATCCTTCTTCCTCCCCCCCATCTCCCGCCCCAACTCACCCCATCTTTCAGCCTCCTTCTACACCATTTGTTTGTCTTCATTCCCTTTGTAATATTGTTTTCATGACCACCCTTCTTATAGCCAACTCCTTCCCACCACAAACCCGACTCCTTCACTGCTACCATTTACTTTTGTAATTGTTCACTTTGTCTCCAGTCTCCTGCTAGTGAGCCTATCAGCAGCGAGAACTGGAGAGGACTAACCCATAATTGCTGGAGCAACTTATCACTGATTGTGTTATTTCTGTAACTTTGTTCCAGCTGGTCATCCCAGTGGTAGATTTTCCCTAGCCATTTTGGCTTGGTGGCAAATCTGTCTCCCTTCCTCCTCCCTTTCCTCCTTTCTCTTTCTTCCCTACCTCCGACCCAAAACACCATCATCACCAGTATGTGTAATAAGCCGTGCTGTTATAGTTTTCGGAATTTGTGAATACAAATCAGTAAACCTCAGTAACATTTTGAAGATTTTTGCAAGATGTGCAATGTTTTAAATTTACCAAATTAAATTTTTTGCAGATATGGGATTTAGCTGATGCAGATGCAAAGGGATTTTTAAACAAACAGGTGATTTTTTTTACACTTATTTAATTCAGAAACGCCACTTTTGCTCAGTATTGTGTGACAGCTTTTATTGTTTGAATTGTTACAACTTATCTGGTTTGCTCATATGATAAAGCAATTTACTTAAGTGCTCATTTTATTTCCTTTAGGAATTTTTTGTTGCCTTAAGACTTGTAGCCTGTGCACAAAATGGACTTGAGGTCTCGCTCAACAGTTTACAGCTTGCTGCCCCTGCACCAAAATTTGTAAGTAAATTTGTTTCTTATTCTTTATAATCTGAAATAGTAGCAATGATTTGACCTTTTGGTTCCAGTTCAGGAATTTAGTTTGAAATTCAGACATTTTAATTTCAATCAAAAGATAATAATTAATGCATTAAATGTCTTTTGATATTTAAACTCACCCTAGACTAATGGAATAATAAAATTCTCCTTCTTCTTTGTCATGTTGTTGTTCCTGCTGCCCTTCTTTTTCTTGTGTTCTCTTGGCCCATGTCTGTTTCTCCTTCCCTCTCCCTCCATCTGTGCTTTACTCTCAGTTTGTATTCAACTGAGATTACTGCAATGGTTATAAATGGATCTGTCATTTTCATTTTAGAATGATAGAAACAGTCCATTGCTGGCTAGTGGTTCAGCACCTATTGATGTTCCTTGGGCTGTGAAGGTACAGCACTTTGAATATTCACTTTCAATCTTTTGAGATTTTTGACAATCATTTAAAATTCTGTCACTGAAAATGAGATTTGCTTTGACAAATTTTCATAAGTGGTAATTAAAAATATAAATGCTGCATGCAGTGAGTATGTGTAACTTTAAATGAGGATTTAGCTATTCAAATTTTTTTTAAAATTCATCAATGTTTCATTTATAATACCTAGAAAATTATAAAACAATCAATAAAGTTGTGAACATTTCCAACCATTAGAGTTTTTAAATGTATACAATTCAATATGTTGCATGAATGTAAAGGAAATGAAATATTAATTTTGTGAATCAAGTTGTTTTCGCTTAAACATAGCTTTAATCATAACACTCTTTTTGGTTAAAAATTTCAATGTAAGTTACCGTTTTTTAAGATAGAGTTCCCATTTATAATCATTGACTGACATCTATGTTAATATATGAATTGCAGTTGGAAGAAAAGGCCAAGTATGATATAATTTTTGACAGTCTTAATCCTGTGAATGGTTTCCTATCTGGTGATAAAGTGAAACCTGTGCTTCTGAACTCTAAGCTACCTGTGGACGTCCTTGGAAGGGTAAACACAATTTTATGTTCATATGCTATGTAATAGTCTTATCGGTGTCAAAGTTGTATGCTATTTCTGTAGAACGATGTCAGAAGTCACACAATGCCAGGTTATAGTCCAACAAGTTTATTTGAACTCACAAACTTTCAGAGTGCAGCTGCTTTGTCAGGTGCAGTGAAGGGGCTGTGTTCCAAAAGCATGGGAGTTCAAATAAACCTATTGGACTATACCTAGTGTGATGTGACCTCTGACTTGGTCCACCCCAATCCAATACCGGCACATCCACATCTGTAGAACCATAGAATAGTATACACGGAAGGAGATTAACAAAGTTCAACAGATTGGCTTTATCTTTTCTGATATATCCCTGCAATATTTGTCATTTAGATATTTATAGAATTACCATTTGAAAACTTTTATTGAATCTGTATCCTTCATTGTATCAAACAAGGCATTCCAAATTCTAAACATGCCACACCTGGTTCTTTTGTCAGTCACTTGAATCTCTTGCTTTCCGATTATCAGACCTCAGCCACTGAAAGCAGTTTCTCTTCATTTTCTCTGCCTAAATTGTTAATAACTTCAAACAGCTTTGCCACGTTTCCTCTTAATGTCTCTATTAAAGGACAACAACTCCAGCTTCTGTGGTCTATGCAGTTAACTGTAATCTGTTATCCCTGGAACTATTCTCGAAAACCTCCTGCGTACCTCATTCAAAGCCCTCATATCCTTCCGTAAAGGGGGCCTAGAATTGGACGTAATATTTGCTGAAGGACTAAGTGAACATTGTTAAATAACAGAGTCAACACTTAGCAGTCTGAGTTCAGGATATGAATGGTTTAGTCACATACATGTGGTGAGCAGCTCAAAGACTTTCTATCGAGTTGCAAATAGTTCTGACTTTTATACATAAAACACAGTTTCATGCCCCGTTTCGGGCGGGGGGTGGGCAAGCTACCTATCACTAACTATGATACATGTCATGGGGCAGCACGGTGACTCAGTGGTTAGCACTACTGCCTCACAGCTCCAGGGACCCAGGTTTGAGTCCACCCTCGGACAACTGTCTTTGAGGAGTTTGCACATTCTCGCTGTGTCTGTGTTCATTTCCTTCAGGTGCTCCCCCAGTCCAAAGATGTGCAGGGTAGGTGGATTGTCCAAACTAAATTGCCCATAGTGTCCGGGGATGTGCAGGCTAAGTTGATTAGCCATGGGAAATGCAGGGTTACAGGGATAGGATGGGGTTGGGGGTGCGTGGAGTGGTGTGTGGGTCTGGGTTGGATGCACTTTGGAGGATCAGTGTGGACTTCATGGGTCAAATGGCCTGCTCCCACACTACAGGGATTCTATGTTTTATTTGCTTATGAATGTCGGGTTAGGGATAAACTTATTCAGAGTTAAATGTATGTTTGGAAACTTGGTGAGCATGGACGAGTTGGACTGAACAGTCTGTTTCTGTGCTATATGACTGTATAACCCTATATGTAGGCATTAAAAGTTAACCTGTTTTTGTGGTAATGTTATTGTACTCTAAATGCCTGACTTTCTGATTAGCTCTGTCTAAATGACATATAATGCCTTGATTGATCAGAAGGTACAAGCTCAACCCCTGACTTTCAGTGTTTTTAACCAAGAGTTACCCCAGTCATGTATCCTGGACCTTCACCGAAGATCTGTTGACTTGTACGAACTGGTTTTTGAGAGGACTCTGAAACTATATGCAGGCCCTACATAATCTTTGGGAGGCTTTTGTATCTGGTGGTGTCCTGGCCTTGAGGTATCCACTACCTCAAGGACACAAATTCACACACTCTCCTCACTACATTGTTAGCTGAAGACTGGACTCATCAGTTTCTGACATGGTGGGAAAGTGCTCTTTGGACATGTGTGATTGTGTATGTATGCAGTCCCCTTCAGCCATTTTCCACACTGATTTTTTTTCTCTATTTAAAATCCTCCCAGTCTTCCTCTTCTCTATGATTCTGAGGCTTTTGTTGTATTTTATTTTGTTTTATTTCACCCTTCATTTGCCCAGCTAATATTTAATCTTGCACATTCTCCCGGAGTCTTTTATGTCATGCCCAAGACATTTCTTTGGGACTTCCTCAGGGAAGTATCCTTAGCCAAACAAGCTTCATCAATAACCTTCCCTCATCAGAAGATGAGAAGTAGGGATGTTTGCTGATGGTCACACAATGTTCACACAATTTGCAGGTGTTCAGAAACTGAAGCAGGCCATGTCCAAATGCATCAAGATCTGGACAATTTCCAGTGTTGAGTTAAAACGTGGCAAATGACATTTTTAAGATGTAAGTGCCTGGCATTGACTGACTATCTCGAACAAGGGAGAATTTCCCCATCGACCGTTGACATTGAATGGCATTAACATTGCTGAATTCCCCGCTAAGTGCATCTTGGGGATATCTGTGATTCCAGAAACTGAACTCGATGAGAAATGTAAATTTGTGGCTATAAGGTGCAGGTCAATGCAAGGAATTCTGCAGCAACTAATGCACCTACTGGCTCCTCAAAGTCTGTCCAGCATCCTCAAGGCAAAGTCAGGATTGCAATGGAGTTCCTCCTGACTTGCCTTGACGAGGGCAGCTCCTACAAGACTCATGAAGCATGATACCATCCAGGACAAATCAGGCTGCTTGATTGGCACCACATCCATAAATATTCAGTCCCCCTACCACTGATGCTCAGTAACATCCACTTTTTTTTTATTCAGTTGTGGGATGTGGGCATTGCTGGCAGGCCGGCATTTATTACCTGTCCCTGGTTGCCCTTGAAAAAGTGCTGATGAGCTGCCTTCTTGAACTGCTGCAGGCTACATTCTGCAGGTTGTATCGTCTTCAAGAGGCATTACAGAAATTCACCAAGGCTCCTTAGGCAGCACCTTCTAAACACACAACTACAATTTAAACAGGCAAGAGCAGCAGATACATGGAAACTTCACCACTTCTAAGTTTTCCTGAAACCCACTCACCATTCTGAATTCAAATATATCCAGTGTTGCTGGGTCAGAATCCTGGAACTCTAATGGCATTGTAGGTATATGTACACTGCATGGGCTGCATGGTTCAAGAAGTCAGCTCACCACCACTTACACAATAGCAGGTAGACATGTGAACTTTTATGAGTGTGGAGTCTAATTTCTTTGAGTTTTATTTATTGTTGGAAACTTTAAAAAACACAGTCTCCTTAACTTTTCTTTGTCCTTTTTTCTCTCTTAGTTAATCATATTGTGCGTTCTTTCTTTGTTGTTATTTTGCTTTTGGGATCTGATTTCTTACTGGATTAACCATTCTAATACTGTTTCCTGGTTCAGATCTGTGTTGCTTACAAATAATCCTTTGATCTGATTTGTTGAGGACCGGGACAGTTGCTCATCATGTTTGCCAGGATTCATACACTTGCGATAGCTTTCTAATTGCCTGAGCTGGAGAGTAAGGTGCAACTAACAAGATTTGTTCCCTGCTGTGAGAACATTCTGGCCCTGGATGCTTTAAATTAGAAAGAATGTTCAGAATTGAATGGGTCTTATCATTAACTTCCTTTTTTAAATTATCTTTTAGGTCTGGGACCTCAGCGATACTGATCGTGATGGATTATTAGACCGGGATGAATTTGCTGTTGTAAGTTGCACAGGTACCTGTTTTGGTGCTACAGGCTACCTGATGATTTTGCTATATATATATAATATATACATTTACAATATGGTTTGTGTGACAAGGCAGTACTGAGTTTTAGAATAGCCTTTGATAGTTCAACAGAAGTGGCCATTATTCTTTGGCCTGCCTTCACATGGAGTACAAAGCTATTTGGCCGTACGAAGTATTAAAACCAATCATTTTCTATCCTTCCACAGAGATCATTGAAAAGAAAAGTGAATAGAAACTCTAATGATCTGGGATTGTGTGACCAAATCTACACCCTTAACCCCATCTCACCTCAGAGCAGCTAAAGCAAGGATGAATGGAATCAAACCTGGACCTTTGTGGTCTCAATGTCTCAACTATGTGCTGCTTTGAGCACAAGATCATGTGGGAAGTTAGGCATTCTAATATCAAACAGGGAGAATGACTGCCAATGAATAGTAATTCCTGTTCTTGAGATGTGTTATTTACTTGATGTTTATTCCAGAATTTGTGTTTCATGACTGAAATTTATGATCTGCTTCTTTTGTGCTTGACGTTTCTTTGTAGTATTGGTTTGTTGTACAACAGGAGATGGCAGACCTTTTGAGTAAACCACCATTTAAATACATTGCTACCAGGTGTTAGTTCATGCATGTTATAGGATAGGATAATTTAATTATGATCTTAGAATTCAGTTTAAAAACACCTACGTATATAGATGAGTCATATCACTCAAAGTTGTCTTAAATGCAGAAGTGTATCTTTGGGGTTTAAGTTTCAGAAATTATGACCGTAAAACTTAAATAGTACATTGGTATTACATGAAACCATATTGACTCCTATTTTGGGGTTAGCAGTGACTGAGCATACTTATAGATTTTCCGTTATCTTGGCACGAGAGTTGGCAATGACGAGAAAGCAAAAATAAAGTGGTAGCCTTCATTTGGGACCTGTGTGAATAGGTTAGTGGTGTTATGCCTACTTAACAGACAAAATTGGAGAATCTTTACTAAGACACACAGTCCAAATCAAAGGCGGAAGTGACAATCATTAAATTGATGTCAAATCGTAGGCAGAAAGCAAAATAAAGAGGGATGAAAGAAATGAAGTTGAGAGAGGAAGGGATAAGAGGATGGATAAAAAAGTGGATAACAAAAAATTCTGCAAGAATAATTAAAATCAAGAGGAAAGAGGCTCCCCTACCTAGAAAATTTAACTTGCAGCGCTGGAGACGTTGTTTGGTAGCAGTTAAGACTTATCCCATCTTGAGTATGACTGCTATGCCTCTCAATAAAATGTCATTTTTGACACTTTCTGGAGGTGCAGGACAACTTGGATATGTCTTACTATTTGTGTTTAACTGTATGACAAATACTTGCAGGAAGTTGCCTACAATTTACTTAGTAATGGTGGATAATTTACTTGTGGCATCCACTGTTATTTCAACTGCATAGGCTAGGCCAACAGTAATTGTGTTCAGCATTATAGGGAAAATAATGCATTTTATTGCTAATTGTTGTAATAAAATTAGCATGAGAAGTTGCTATATATTTGAATCCATCCAGTCTTGTTTCTACCATCGTTGAAAAATGGTTCTTGTCAGCATCAGCAACATTATAGTTGACTGTGATTGAAAGTGCATTATCCTTAAGTGACTCCTAATTTGTTTGATCATACTGTGCATCTCTACTGTCACCTCACATCTGTGGTCCGCCTCCCTAATACTGCCCCTAAAGCAGATCCATTTCTGCTATCCTAATGCAATTAATCATCACCGTCAATGGCTTTGCTACTTCTGTTTCTGGCGTCACATCTGATGTGCCCAAGGTCCCATTTTTATAGTATGTTATTCATGATTCATTATAGTTCATTTCTACCATACTCATAATAAATGCCTTTATATCTAGGAAACAGATGAGTTTAAAGAAAAAATCTTGCCCTTGAATTTGAAGGAATGTCCAATTTCTTAATGAAAGTTGGGCTCATAAATACACGTGAATTGCAGTTGTGGCACTAGCATGAACACTGCTTACTACATGTGCCATCCTGACATAACAGATATATTGCATTTCTGGGACTAGATTTTGGTAGCAAAAATCAACTCAACATTTGGAATCTGTAGGGAGGAGGGAATATGTTTTTCAAATAAAACTTCATAGACTTTTGACTTGGACATTTATCTGCTTATGTTTGGCCATGATTTATTTTAAGAATTGTCCATGTTATAAATGAAAAGTGTATTACCTGGATCGTTGAACAGTGCCAAATATTCACATACTTTTTTTTGCCCCTGCTAGTTGAAGGTAACAAAATTTGAAATGCATTCCTGCAATTAAGTTTTCAGGATGATACCTTTGTTTTTGTGGAAGTTGAAATCAAAAAATACTTAGGAAATTAAAACTGAATCAACAATATTGTTATTGGTAAGGCATTGCTTGTTTTCTGACGTAGAATTCACAGTATTTTTTGTGTGGTGCAGTAGTTACTAAACAAAATAATGTGCCAGATTATATAGAAGATATATATTTCCATTAATTCCTTCTTGTTCTTTGAGATTTAGTGATGTTGCGAGTAAATAGCACTCTGAATTTTAGAGAAAATATGTTTAAATTTACTTGGAAGTTCTGATGCATTTCTACTTCTCTGCCTTGTGTACCTATGTTGCTTTCCCTTCTATGACACTTAAAGGTAGAATCTGGAAACTTTCAGCTTTTTGAATTGACAATTAAAAACAGCTTCAATTATCTATTTCCATGAGATGCTTTGGTCAGCTTCCAATAATATTTAGTGTTACTTATGCCACCAATTTATTTTCTACAACTGCAACTCTGATTACTTGGGTTCTGATGAAAGGTCATCAAGCTGAAATGTTAAAGCTGTTATTTTTCTCCACAGATTCTGCATGGGGTTCTGAGTTTCTCAAGCTTTTCTTGTTCTTTCAGATTTCTAGCATCCACAGTATTTTGCTTTTCTATTTGAGTCCAAATTCTGAGTGAAGAAGAATTTTCTGCAGTTCCAAGAAGACAAGACTGAACTATTAAGAAACAGAATACTGCGGATATTGAAAACTTGAAATTACAAAAGGAAAAATGTGCTGGATTCTGAAACAAAAACAGAAAATAGTGAAATTACTCAGCAGGCTATGGTTGTATCTCTGCAGAGAGGAACAGAGTTAACATTTTCAGGTTTGAGAGTTTTCATCAGAACTTAGATTATATGTTTTATTGAGATCTGTCTCTTGATTAAACTTGAAAAATATTAAACATAGGTACTAAGTTATCCTGGAACAGTGTTTTTGGAGCAGTAATACTGTACTATTTTCTGAGACTGTAGATTGTTAAGGTGCAAAGATGGCCTTTAGTAGAGTGGTGTGCACTTCCTGTCGGATGTCGGCGATTAGAGAGAGTTTGCATTTTACTGATGGTTATGTCTGTAGGAAGTGCGTTTGGTTGCGAATCCTGCCAGATTGCATAGATCAATTGGAGCAGCAGTTAGATGCAATGAGGAATTTACACAAGCTAGTGGATGTGATGGATGGCAATTGCTGAAAGATATAAAAACCGCAGATACAGTCAAGTAGATGGGTTACCTCCAAAAAAGATAGGAGAGGTAAGGAGGTAATGCAGGAGTCTCCTGTGGCTATCCCCATCTCAAACAAGTATGCTGTTCTGGAAAATGTAGGGAGTGATGGGCCTCCTATGGGAATTTAGCACTGACAGCCAGGTTTCTGGTACCAAGACTGGCTCTAATAAAATGAGGGATGTGTCAGGATCTAAGTGATTGATTAGTGATTCTTCAGTCAGAGGCACAGACAGACGTTTCTGTGGCTGACAACGAGACACCAGAATGGTGTGTTAGCTCCCTGATGCCAGGATCAAGGATATTTCGGAGAGGGTGCAGAATATTCTCAAAAGGGAGAGGGATCTGCAGGAGGTCGTTATGCACATTGGAACTAACAGCACAGGAAGAGAAAAAGACAAGGTTCTGAGGAGAGAATATAGGAAATTAGGCAGGAATTCGAAAAGTAGGTCCTTGAAGGTAGTAATTTCTGGATTACTCCTGTGCCATAAGCTGGTGAGAGTAGGAATAGGAGGTTAGATCAGATGGATGCATAGCTGCGAAGCTGGTGTAGCGGAGAAAGATTCACATTTTTGGATCATTGGAATCTCTTTTGGAGTAAAAGTGACCTGTGTAAGCGGGACAGATTGTACCTGAATTGGAAGAGGACTAATGTGAGATTGGCGAGAGCTGCTTGGGAAGATTTTAAAATGGTGGGTTGGGGTTGGGGTTGGTGGGGACCAAGGGAGATAGTGAGGAAAGAGATCAATCTGAGACTGGTGCATTTAGGAAAAGGAGTAAGTCAAAGTCAGGGCAGCTAGGAACAAAACAGAGAATGAGATAGCAAGAGGACTAGCAGGTCAGGCAGCTGAACTCAGGTGTGGTTGGGAATATGGGATTGGGATATCATAGCGATTGCAGAAATGTGGCTCAGGGATGGACCAGACTGGCAGCTTAATGTTCCAGGGTATAGATGCTATAGGAAGAATAGAAAGGGGGGACAAGAGAGGAGGGGGAATGGCATTTTTGATTAAGAGTAATATTACTTAGGGAAGGATATTCCTCTGAGTATGTCGAAGGAAGTTATTTGGGTGGAACTGGGAAATAAGAAAGGGATGATTACCTTACTGGGATTGTACTGAAGACTCCTCAGTAGTCAGCGGGAAATTGAGAAGTAAGTTTGTAAGGAGATCTTGGTTATCTGTAAGAGTAATAGGGTCATAATGGTGGGGGATTTTAACTTTCCATACATAGACTGGGACTGTTGTTGGGTTAAGGGCTTTTGGGTGAACAGGAATTTGTTAAGTGTGTACAAGAAAATTTTATGATTCAGTATGTGAATGTATCTCCTACAGAAGGTGCAAAACTTGACCTACTGTTGGGAAATAAGGCAGGGCAGATGACTGAGGTGTCAGTGGGGGCAAGCAGTTTGGGGTCAGTGATCATAATTCTGTTAGTTTTAAAATGGTGATGGAAAAAGATAGACTGGATCTAAAAGTTCAAGTTTTAAATTGGAGGAAGGCGAATTTTGACGGTATTAGGCAAGAACTTTCAAAAGTTGGTGGGGGGTGATATTCACAGGTAAATGGGAAGCCTTCAAAAATGAGTGAATGATAATCCAGAGTTAGAGTGAAGAACAAGGCTGGTAGGTATAGGGAATGCTGGATGACTCGAGAAATTGAGGTTTTGGCCAAGAAAAAGAAGGAAACATATGTTAGGTATAGACAGCAGAGATCGAGCGAATTCCTAGAAGAATATAAAGGGAGTAGAGGTATACTTAAGAGGGAAATCAGGCGGGCAGAAAGGGGATTTGAGATAGCTTCAGCAAGTCGGGTTAAGGAGAATCCGAAGGGATTCTACAAATACATGAAGGACAAAAGGGTAACTCGGGGGAGAAAAGGGCCCCTTAAAGATCAGTAAGGCCGCCTATGTATGGAACCGCAGGAGATGGGTGAGATACTAAATCAGTCTCTTGTATCAGTGTCTACTCTGGAGAAGGATGTGGAAAACCTCGGCAACTCAGGGAAATAAATAATGACATCTTGAAAAATGTCCATATTACAGAGGAGGTGGTGCTGGATGTCTTAATCCACATAAAGGTGGATAAATCCCCAGGACCTGATGAGGTGTACTCCCCAGAACTCTGTGGGAAGTTAGGGAAGTGATTTCTGGGCCCCTTGCTGAGATATTTGTATCATCAATAGCCACAGGTGCCAGAAGATTGGAGGTTGGCTAATGTGGTGCCACTATTTAAGAACGGTGGTAAGGAAAAGCCAGTAAACTGTAGGCTGTTGAGCCTGACATCAATGGTGGGCAAGTTGTTGAAAGGGATCCTGAGGGACAAGATTTACATGTGTTTGGAAAGACAAGGACTGATTAGGGATAGTTAGCATGGCTTTGTGCATGGGAAATCGTGTCTCATAACTTAATTGAGTTTTTTGACGAAGTGATGAAGAGGATTGAGCAAGGCAGAGCAATGGACGTGATCTATATGGATTTTAAGGCGTTTGACAAGGTTCCGCGTGGTAGACTAGTTAGCAGTGGAATATAGGAAGGACTGGTGTCAATATGCGTGGTGCTAGAAATGTACAACTGGTCAGACAGCATCCAAGGAACAGCCCGAAACATTGAATTTCCTGCTTCTTGGATGCTGTCTGACCGGCTATGCTTTTCCAGATCCACATTTATAGACTGTAGCTTCCAGAATCTGCAGTCCTTACCTTCTTCACAGGGAGAACTAATCATTTGGATACGGAACTGGCTCGAAGGTAGGAGACAGATGGTTGTAGTGGTGGTGGAGAATGGCTTTTGGAGCCTGTGACCAGCCGTGTGTAACAAGGATCAGCGCTGGGTCCACTGCTTTTCATCATTTATATAAATGACTTGGATGTGAACATAGGAGGTATGGTTAATAAGTTTGCATATGACACCAAAATTAGTGGTGTCGTGGACAACGAAGAAAGGTACCTCAGAGTATAACAGGACCTTGATCAGATGTGTTGATGGACTGAGGAGTGGCAGATGGAGTTTAATTTAGATAAAATAGGTATATGGAATGATTATGAAGCTCTAATCTTGGAATAATTTCCTCACATTTTGACATTATTTAGGTGTGTAGGTACTTTTCCATCTAATTATTGAAGTGCAGCTGCCACTGGAGATATATTGCCATTCTTTCAGTGTTGCTGTGTTGAATTCCTGGAACTCCCTCTATGATAGCATTGTGGGTGTACCTACACCAAAAGGATTGCAGTGGCTCAAGAAGGCAGCTCACCACCACCTCCACAAAGGCAATAAATGCTGGCCCAGCAGTACATTCGAACCCATAAGTAATTTTTAAAAAAACTTTTTCTGTTGTCTTTGAGCATCATGTATAAATCTTAAAATAGTATACATCACCTGAACCTAGACATGTGATAGAGAAAACTGCCAACTGTACATCTTTTTATTGACGTCGCCAAGTTTATCCAAGCCATTGGATACACAGCGACACCAGATCTTGTTATATTAATGTGCTAACAGCAAGAATGTGCAGAAGAAACTAAAAGTATCATACAGTTGCTTTTGAGGACACATGGAAATTTGAAATTTATTTTGAGAAATGTTCCTTGAAACATTTTGGTTGTTTAATGCAAGTGCCCAGCTCTTTATACCAGTTCTTCCCCTATGTAAGTATGTGAAAACAGGCAAGATTAACAATACAAAAATCACCAGTGATGGTCACAAATAGGTGTGGACCATGATTATCTAACAGTCCTGTTGTAACCTGTAAACTGCATGATTTCTAATGAATATGTTAAGTTGAAGGCACCTGAGAGAAATGCAACCATTTCTCAGAAGTTAGTTATTTGGTGCATAGTTCATGGATACCATTACAGCACTTGTTCTGCTGTCCCTTCTCCTGATGCACTAGTTAGACAACGTTGTATAAAAGTGGCTGTGGTCCTGATTATATTCACAGGTAGGTATTTTTTATTAGTCTGAGCTTTGTTTAGTATTTTTGTGAACTCTTACATAATTGTTTTAATATGAGGACTCAGTATAATTTTTCTCTCATAAGGCCATGTACTTGGTTTACCGTGCTCTTGAGAAAGAACCTGTGCCATTTTCATTGTCGCCTGCCTTAATACCACCTTCGAAGAGGAAAAAAGCAAGTGTTCCATCTTCAGTGCCACTCATTCCATCTCCACCTACTGCTAAGGAAAGCCGACAATCTTTGCCCCCTGTGGGAATTCTACCTACTAAAGCACCACCAGTCCAGGTACTACAAATAATAATGGTGTTTTGTCTTGAACACCATTTTCCTTTTTTGATTTTAATGTAATGTGCTATTAATTATACAGTTCACCAGAGATTCTGACACATCTTTCTCAAAGTTAAATCGAGGTAAAATTATAACTGGCATATTTTTGACTTAGTCTTTTATTCAACATTGTTTTTTAAATGGACTGATAGAGATTTTTCAGGATTCACGTCTGTTCTGCTTTAGGTGTTCAGTGACTTGTACTACAAAATTAGAGAGAGTACAATTTCTCTTTTGATTCACTGTCAAACTTCTGGTGGTTTGTTAATGTAATCTATGTTTGACATTACATTTATTTGAAAGAATTTTATCACATGATTCACCTTACCTCCTATTGTTTGTGGGGAAAACCCCCCCACAATTTATAGGAAGGTGATGGCCTCATGGCAGGATGGCTAGACAATTAATCCAGAAACCCAGGTCATGTTCTTGGGAGATAGTAGGAACTGCAGATGCTGGAGAATCCGAGACAACAAGGTGCAGGGCTGGATGAACACAGCAGGCCAAGCAGCA